TATCGAACCTGTGAGATTAGATCATTTTATAATATATATATATATATTTTTTTTGTAAATCTAGCTTTTCCGATAATAACATTGTTCAAGTCTATTAACAACAGAATATTTTCACAAGTAACTCAACACACGCTACAATTTTTTTTTAACTAGTAAAATATATTTCATTGAATAATTATCTTACCTGAATAATGTTTAATCACATTGTAAAATTAATATTAATCTTCATTCGATTTCTCTTATATTCCATTCCAATTAAATATTAATTATATATGTTAATATTTTGTTCTTTATAACAATACTGTCATCTAATACATACTCATTTTTATTAATATTAAAATGCTTCCGAATTTGGTATAGTATTAATCATATGTTGATGGTGAAAATAATAATAATGAAGAAATCTGACGATGTTGTTGTTTAATTATTAATTGTACACATGGATTTATCTACATTATTCATTAAACATAAAATTCTCCAAATCACTAAAAATATTATTATATATACATTTTTTAATCTTTTTTCTTTATTGATTAATACATACTTGTACATGAATAACAAATTGTTGATCTTGATGTGTATAGAATAGATATGTAGATATAAATAAATTTTTATTCAAAAGAAGAATACATCTTGTTTCATTCTTTTCTCTTGTGATAAATCCACCTAAGAAAGAAAGATTTTTTCAAACTTCTGTAATGAATTATTTTGATCTAAAACTTTGTTGATATTTAGATATGTTCATCCAAAAAGAATATTATTGTAAAAATTTAAGTGTTTAAAAACTTCTATTGTTTTGTTTTATTCGACAGTCTACGAAATTGAATCAACAGTTTTTAACATTAAGTATGTCTACTTAAGTAATAGTTCGTCTGATGTAATATATTTTGTATTTTATCATAACAAATAAAATAATTATACATTAATGTTGTTATTGATTATCATTAATAAAAATAAACAAAACAATTTCATTTTCATTCCAAACGAGATAAAATCTAAAAAAATTCATAAATAAATCATTATATATGTTAATGTTAACAAGAGAGAAAGGAAAGAAAAAAGAAATATATGTGAAGAGAGGAATTTTCACTTTTCTTTTTTTGTCTTTCTCTCGTCCATAAATCATTGTTCATGTTGTTATCATTGACGATCAATGATCAACATGTACAATTAACTATGTATGTCATTTTCGACGAGAGAAAAAAACGATTTTTCAAGGTATAAATACGAATGATTTTCTATGTAAAATCATTCAAATTTTTGGATCAAATAATAATCATTTTTCTTTTCTGTTTTAGATTGGCTTCAACCAAACAATATGAAACAATTCAACAACAAACCAGATAATAAAATGTAGGTATTAGTTTTACTTTTTTTTAGTTTTTTTATTTTACGATCATAAGGATGGTGGGGTAAGGCCTCCTTTGATCTTTTTTTTATTTTTTATTTTATTTTAGGGAATAAACAATGAAGAAAAAGATAACATTAGGGTAAGTCATCTCATTCTATTTTATTAAATAACATTCATTAAATTTTTTCTATTCCTTTCAGCTATCAATATCATCACGTCATCAACATCAGACACAGTAAGTGATTTTGTTTTTTGAGATGAGAATAGGTAGTGAGATTGAGAGGTTAGGGTGAGACTAAGAATAGTGAGTGTTAGTAGAGAGTGGGTGAGTCATGTCCATTGAGGTTAGGCCCCGTTAGTTACAGGACTTCCGGGTAGTCCCTAAAAACCCGGCCAGGAATCGTCTTCGTGTCCGTGGTACACGACCAGGCTTATTCAGACTCATTGATATATCTTTCGCGGGGAGGGTATGAATGATATGAGTCTGTCCTGTGCGTGCATGAGCGTTACGCTCGCCACGGCTCCACCAGGATGGTGCCTGGTCGCGCGCGCGAATAGAATAGATATTTCTTTCATCAAATTCAATGCGATTTATTTGAAAAGAAAGGAACGCAAAAAAAAGAACCCATCGTTTTGAGTCTATCCAATTGAAAAGCGTTGAACACGACTATTCCCCCAATCGGCGACATAGAGATTGCCATGTCGATCGAAGGACAAACCATAAAGAAGATAGAACTGATTTGCTCCTTCTCCTTTACCATTTCCACCCAGAATGACAGTGCCCTGTTTCGCTTCTTTAGGCCAACGCATCACCCGATGATTTCCCCAGTCTGCCACGTAGATGGTACCCAATGTATCGACGAGCAGTTCGTAAGGATAACTCAATTGTGTCAGAGCATTCCCTTTGCCTTGACCTCCAGCGACGACAATTCCTTCTTTTGCACCTTTATTCCATTTCATTACACGATGATTGTAGCGGTCTGACACGTAGACAGTCTGTTGTTGATCGACAAAGAGGTAGGTCGGAACGTTGAGTTGATTGAGACCAGCACCTTTGCCATTGCCACCAGCCACGATAGTTCCATTCTTGTCTCCTATTTGATATCGTCTTACTTCATCTTTGTCGGTGTCAGATATGTAGAGATATCTCTGATCATCCATGGCCAATCCATAATACTCGATGTTGTCAATGAGGATTTCTCCTTGAGTTGTACCACTACGACGAGACCATCGTACGACTCGTCGATTCCCTGGATCACAAATAATGAGACTATCCGTCTCTTTGTCGATCAATACATTGATTGGACTATTCAATTGATCCAATCGATTTCCTTGGCCATTGCCACCAGCTACTACTTGTCCATTCGTATCACCCATCTTCCATTGGATGATACGATTATTGCCGATGTCAGCAATGACTATCGTTTGATCATCATCAACGAAGATTCCGGAAGGCCCGTTGAGTTGATTGGTGGCACTACCCTCTCCATGGCCTCCAGCAACAGTCACTCCATTCTGTGCCCATCGGGCATCGGCTGGAATAATGGGAATTACTACAATGAACAAAAAAGAAAAGAAATCGTCGTTGTCGAAGGGATCTCGTCTCTCGTGGGAGCAAGCGCTAGAAATACGACATTCGTCTTTGAGAATGCTCATTCCACAGATAAAAATTCAGAAGTCTTTTCCTAGTTTCTTATGAGAAAAAATGGATTTGGTAACGATTCTTACATCTATGTTACTTTTAGTTCTTGCCAAGATCTTTTTGATCATAAAAATAACACCTGGAGATTGTTGTAAGGAGGTTCTCCAAGAAAGAGTAATACTGATTCCATGTAAGTTTTTGAAAGAAAAACATAAGGATCTGAGGATTTTTTTCAGAATTGCAAGAATTCAGAATCTTTTTGGCAGAATGATCATTTATATGAACATCAGAGAAGGTTCTATCTGTATCTTGTGTGAAGAATATCGAATCGTTGAACAACAAAATATCAAACCTAATCCCTATGTTTTTTAGAAAACCTTAAGGATACATGATTTTCTGTATGATGAATGTAGATCTGTCGAAGAATCTTCTAAGTATTTGCATAGAGAATGCCGGTGAAATTTTATAAGGCTTTTGATAAGTTATGTCAAGCTGTTCGAAGAACAACCGTGATGTACTCTGAGTAAGATCATGAGAAGACTTGGATACAGGCGAAACTGAACAAAGTTGAGAGGATTCCACGCGAATCTATGTAATCTGAGAGGGCTTCTACTTTTGCAAATGCTGAAAAGATGGATATCAATCCTAACGGAGTTCTCCAGTGACAAACATTGGGATCTATGGATTTTATGGGCTTTGAAAAGAAAGTGTTCTAAAATGCCATTTTTAACTTTTGCTGAACACCATCTTCAAACCATTGTATTAGGGTCCTAGAAGAGAATCTTGATGACTAAATAAGATACTCTGTCAAAATCTAAAAATAATGAATATCTTCTATGGGGATCATGCTATAATCCTTATGTAATACTTGTTCTGAAAAGTCTTCTTTGAGCTCGCATGTTATGGATATGTTCAGGAGAATCTGAAGAGTAAGTATTTTGAAATGGTTGATACCAGAGATGGGCAATTCCAACTCCAAAGTTGATGCTTTTTCTCATCAAAGTGAAAATGGAGTAGGAACAGGACAGAATGGAGGTGCCTATCTTTAAATTTTATGAAAAAGTATATAAAGCAATAAACTAATATGCTACTAATTTATATCAATCGTAGATTTAATTATGTCCAAAAACTTATGTGTATTTAAGAGTGTTTTGGCAGAAGTTCAGTTTTGTAAAATCCGACTCGAATTGAAGTTAAATTGAAGTTGAAGTAGGATCTTAGAAAATAGGACTGGAGTTATGTGGAGTTGAAGAGAGATAGAGTGTAGTTGTTCATCTTTGCTTAGTACACAAATATCGATCCTAATCAGTACCCAGGATAACTTCTCTGGAATATTAGGAATTACTACAATGAACGAAAAAGAAAAGAAATCGTCATTATCGAAGAGATTTTTGTCTCTCATACACGAGAAAGTACTATAAATGAGACAGTGTTTCTGTAACGCAGTCTTTAAAAAAAAGCACATCATAAGGAAATGCTTTCGATGTCGAGGAAGAGAAAACTGCTTAACATGAAATCCTAAGGAGATTTCTATGTTCTAGTTTAGTATTAGAATTTGAGAAGGAAATCTTACGATTCTTCCAGCGATATTCAGCTCATTTTCGTATGATATAGGATGTTCGAAAGAAGAAAAAACATGATGAAATGAAATATCAAGATGCTTAAAGTCGTGTGCATTTTAAGTTTTTTATGATAGAGGTTGAAAAACGATCTCTGTAAAATATTAATTATGATTTGTGTCTAAGCCGCTCTTTTAATTATATAACTTTTTTTTTTTTATAAAAGTCAATCCTTTTTTCAATTAAGCATAAACTATCATTCAACAGCCATGTTTGATACTTGTGGTACAATATCATCTTAATACATTAAGTAGTTTTATTAGACTAAAAAGACTTTCAATAAAATGATGAAAACTCGTTATAGTTTTATCAAAAAATTTTTTTTGATTTTTTCCAAATTCTAAATTGTTTTTAGATCTGTTTTCTTAGTAACGAAAAGAAATTATTATCATACTTAAACATATTTGTTAAAGCAATAATGAAAATACGAACAATAATATCGAATCGATATAATATAGCTTACAAATTCTTTCGTAGAATTTCTTAACCTACATGATATAAATATATTTAGTTTGTTTTTCGATGATTTTCTGAATGACATTCGAATCTACTATTATCATAATAATATAATAGTAAATAATTTCTAATATCGAAAAAAAATATCATTTTTTTCTCGCTAGAAATTCTAGAAGTTATGAAAAGAGTCTATGAGCGGATATTTATTTAATCAAGTTTATTAATTTGAAGCAAAAAAATTCTCGAAAATGACCTCAAGTAAAAAAAGAGATGTTCCCAGATTTTTTAAAATGTTTATAAGATATGCAATCTACTCACGAGGGAACCTCACCAACTGATTAAAAGCTTTCTGATTCATATTTACATCATAAGTAGTGCTTAGTGAGACTAGATGAACCCTAAAAGGATTTTCTTGAATGGGCCTATTTGGCTAAGATATGAACATTTCAAGTTTAAGGACGAAAATGTAGGGAGATTGTCTGTTGTCCATGAATTACAATGCTAACATATATCAATATATACTTTTTTGTTGAAATGCTCATCGATAAATCGTGGAGCTGTTGAAAAAATTTTGGTATGATGTTTATTTGATGACATAGCTGCTACATAAAAGAAACACCAAGATGGTAGCGAAGAGTCATGTAATCAATCGCCTTTCATCACGTGTAGTGGATGTTGAAAAGATCTATATTTTGATCCTTTTTTCGTTGGTTATCATACTCACTAAACTATTACGTACACACAGCTAACAACTCGTGTTTCAGTTGTCCTAACGATTTTAGTATTTGTTTTAACTTTTCTATCTATTACACCAGCGAATAAAAAGGTTTCAGGCATGTCTACACCACTCTCAGGATGATTTCGGAGAAATGCGTAAAACACTTCAATCTATAAGTATTTTCAAAAGTAGATTTTTCTTTTGACACATTAACATTATAATTCATGCACAACGACCAATCTATCTACATTTTCATTCCTAAACTTGAAATGTTCATATCTTAGCCAAATAGGCCCATTCAAGAAAATCCTTTTAGGGTTCATCTAGTCTCACTAAGCACTACTTATGATGTAAATATGAGTCAGAAAGCTTTTAATCAGTTGGTGGGGTTCCCTCGTTACCAAATTTTATACTAGAGCATTAAAATCAGTTTCGATTCGATCTATAGGAAAATTTTAGAGAAGTCATTTTTACTGTCTGCACATGAAACATTAGTCTAATTGAACTCGTTCTAGTACAATACGCAAAACTTTTTAGTTTTAAACCTCATAAAATAAATGCATATCAGAACACATAATATACTGATAGTCGATTATTAGCTATGGTACTTCAAAAACTCTGTGTACCCAAAAATGTTTCATATATGAATCTAATATTGTAATCAGCGTATTAGTCGCTGAGCATCTATTTAAATAACCATATTGCTAAGGATACTAAATGATGTTTTCCATGTACAATATGTAATATTACTTTTTCAGATTATCGACGAGAGAGAAGAACTTTGGTACAAAGCGATACTCTCGTTTTTATCGAAACTCATACGGTGAAAGGCAACAAGTTTAAATTTGGAAAGAGCTAAATAGTATTATGAACTGATCTTCTCTGGATCAGTAGTGCCCGGCGTGACCAAGGTTTTTGATCTTGATTACGATCATTCTTCTTAGTTTGTCGCGAGTCACGATCTCTTTTCCTGAACAATATTTATTGTGACAAAAGTTAGATAAAAGCGAAAACAACTGCAAACGTTGAGATTATTAAGCAAGAGGAAAACTATATTCTTAATTAATTCGGCTCAGCTCCATGAAATAGTAGTATGTATGCATCCTGTCGTTTAGCTCTATTTATAACAAAATATGTCTTTTTATTATATTTTGTGTCTCAGATAGTGTTCTACGAGATTGACTTTTTCCAATTACTATTTCCCGTTTCCGTGGGTCTTAATGATTTCAGAATTCCTATTGCGATTTCATTTGTCGTGCTTCAGAAAAACTATCATTACCGAACACTAGGTTCTATCAACGTCTCACTTTGCATAACATGTGATGGCGTTAAATTAAAAATAAACTTATCAATGGAGGTACATTTTAGTAAAATAAATCTATTACTATTTATACATCGAAATTCATTAATGTTAAGCTGAAAGAATTATTTTCTTCATTAGTTGAACAATTCGAAAGAGAAAAAAATACTAGCATATTAACAACATCGATGAAAAAACGAAAACATTCGTCATAATTGAATTACAATTAAATGAATAATGAATGAACTTGCCTAATTCTTGTTGGTAGATATTTGTTATTGTTCTTTTAATTAATAAGCAATGCAAAAGTCTTGCGAAGTATGTTGAAATCAATTTCTTAACAATATAACATCTGATTGACTTCGATATTTTTTGTTGTTTGAAAGAGCAAAGTTTGGAGCGTATACATGCATAAAACAAAACGACTTTCGTGAACGCGCATTTTGAAATATTATTTACGTTCCCTAATCTCGCGGAAAATGCCACAAGAACAACGAGAAAAATTGTTCCGACAGAACACTAGTTGCAGAAGAAATTAGAATTCAGGGAAATTTAAAATTTTTCGGAGTTCTAATCTCTTCAGTTACATTTATATATAGCAATTTTGATTAAGAAAAAAAAATGAATGAATTATTGAAATAA